AACCCCCCCAAAAAAAAAAAAAAAAAAAAAAAAGCTTCCTGGTCTGGGACTCAATCGTGGCCAGCCATGTGGGAGTCCAGCTGCCTTAACCACCACGCCACCTGCTGGCCCCTCTCTGAACTATTTGAAAATAAATTGCAGATATTGTAACCCTTATACCCTAGATAGTTTAGCTCCTAAGAATGGAGACTTTCTCTTATATAACTATAATATTACCATATAATATAGGTATAATAAAATATAATGCCATTATATAATGGTATAATATAATACCATTATCACACTTAAGAAAATTAACAGTAATTCCATAATATTATTTAGTAGTCAATTCATATTACATTTTCTCCAGTTGACTCAAGAGTGCCTTTTATACCTTGCTTTAAAGAGAAAAACTTAACTTAAAAAAAAAATTACAGAGAACAGCAATTGGTATAATGGCTATGTTGCTGGACTCCCATGTAGTTGACCGCGGTTCGAGTCTTGGACCTGGGGTTTTAAAATCATGCTGGGTGCGTGTATGTGCGTGCCCAAGATCCTGAGAGGAGAATGGAGGAGAAGGGATTGTGGCAGAGCCATCCTCTCCGGAGGGTGATTTCTCATTTTCCCTCTCTTTGTCTCTGTCTGTCTCTCTTTGGCAAGCACCCACACCATAAGGCAAAAACATTTTAAAATTAGCATATTAGAGCTCCTCCATTCTCCTTGCAGGATTTTGGGTATGCAGGCTCATGCATCTGGTGGGATTTTCTAGCTGCTGTGTCCAGGACTTGAACTGTGGTCAACCATGTGGGAGTCCAGCACCTTAACCACCATGCCATCTGCTGGCCCCTCTAATATGTTACTTTCACAGAAGAGCATTTGATATAAGATTCCCATCCTGTCTCCTTCCCCATCCCACCTGGAGAACCTGTCTCAAATTCCACTGTTGGAGAGACCAAATGGATTTCAGGCATTGCTGTCTCAAGGTTCCTCTTGTGAAATTCAGGAACTGCCTATGGCTAGCTCCTTGCTATTCTGCTTCCACTCTTGGCCCCTACAATTCTTTTTCCTACTGGCAAAGGGATGTTTTCAAAACATAAGCTGATCATCAAGATGCAGATTCCTTTCTCCTTTTTTTTTTTTTGGACAGGTTTTTGCTATAGGGCGCGTGCACTCGCCAGAAAGAGAGAGACAGAGAGAGACAGAAAGCGAGAAATCACCCCCTGGGGGGGTGGCCACACCGCAATCCCTTCTCCTCCATAGTCCTCTTGAGATCGTGGGCACCCATGCACAAGCACCCGGGTTGAGTTTAAGCCACTGAGTCTAAGACTTGAACTGCCGTTGACTACATGGGATCCAGCGACATAGCCATTACGCTAACTGCTGGTCCTTTCTCTTTGTTTCTTTAACTCTATTTATTTATTTTAATTTGACCAAGGAGGGACAGAGTGAGAGAGAGAGAGAGGGAAAATGAGAAAGTAAGCCGCCAGGTCTGGGACCTGAACCTCGGTCGGCCATGTTGGAGTCCAGCGCCCCTAATCACCACGCCTCCTGCCAGTCCTCAGATTCCTTTCTTAAGTTCCCCCTACAGCTTTTTTGTTTTCGAGGATAAAGACATCATTTCACATTTACAGTCAAATGATTTTCTTCATGTGTGACCTCTCTCCCTGTTAGACCATTAACTCCAAGAAGGCCGGGACTGTTTCTGTCTCATTGTCATCTAACCTGACACACAGAAAGTACCTGATGAGCATGTGTCGAATGAATGAATGAGGACGTGGCCCTGAGAGGGCGAGCTCACTGCCATCATCAGTGTCCATTGTAAGTTGACTCGGCCTGTCATCTTCCTGGCCCTTCGGCTGCCTTGGGACAGGACTCACAGGTGTTTGGCTGGGAGCTCCCAGAACCCCCGTCTGGGGTCCCTAACCAGCTCACCTGCCCATCCAGGTCCCTCAGCACCAGCAGCACCGGCCCACTGTGGCCCTCCATCTGCCGGTACAAGGTCCGCAGACTGAAGCCGTCCCTCGCCGTGCAGAAGACCAGGCTCCAGGGATGTCCACTTACTCGTGGTGGGAGGTGGAGGCTGAGCTGGAGACAGAGCCGGAGGTGAGTAAGGGAACCCTCCTCCTCTAGCTCTCCTTCCGCGTATCCTGGACCACCCGAACTACTGGGTTAAAGAGCCACCACTCCTACAGCCACGTGCTTCCCAGCTGAAAGTTTTCTGTCTCCGGGACCTACTCGCCCATTAGCAATGGCTAAGGGAGATAGGGGTTATTATCAGAGATAGGGTTCATTATCGGAGAAAGCGGTTATTATGGAGATAGGGGTCATTATTTCCATTTCACAGATGGGGAAACTGAGGCTCAGGAAGGTGAAACAATTTGCCCAAATCCCACTTGGAGGGGAAGTGTCAGAGTCAGGATTTGAACCTAGGTCTCTCTCAGGACTGTCTGCCCTTGGCCCCTAGGTCGGAGGCTCCAGAGGCCAGAGAACAGATGAGAGGCTGAACTCCGCCTCCTGGTTGCCCCACCCTGTTCCCCCACCCCCATTCCAGCTTTGGCTTCAGTTCCCAAGGGCTGGTTCTATTCAGTAACTATCTGTCACCTCCTGGCCCAGCGAAGGAGGGGGTGCTAGTATTACTGGGTCACTTTACAGGAAAGGAAAGCCCTGAGAGAAAAAATGATGACTCAAAGGGGACACAGTGGGCTGAGAACAGAGCAGGAGTGACCCAGGCACCTCTGGGCCTGGCTGGTTTAGGGCAGGAGGGTGGGACCCGTAGTCTCTGGGCTGAAACCCTGGAGCCACGGGCATCGCCCGAACCTGCCTAATCTCCGAGGTACCCAGGACCTGGCTGGCTTCTGTCAGCTGAGGCTCTACGGGATCTTCAGGAGCAAGGCCTGGGCCCGGGGCTGGAGCCGTCTCTTCCTCCTCTTCTTTCTCTTCCTCACCCTCCTCCCCAGACGCGGCATCCTCCACCTGGCTGGGCTGTGAAGGACAAAGAGACCTGGTGGGTCCAGAAACAAGGGATGGGACCAGCTCCCATCACTTCCCGAGCCTCGCCACCCTGTCCAGCCCAGCGTAGCTAAGAAGGACTCTGCCCCTGCCTTTGGCCTGCCTCTTCCCTGGCTCCTGCCAGCTGACGGTCAAAGCACACGCACACCCGCTCCCAGAGCTGCCCAGATGCCGCAGAGCCTGCACTGTTTGCTATGGGTCCAGGTGGGTGCCAGGGATCAAATTCTGCGTCTGGGAGCAGGAGAGAAGGGCAGGTGACACCTGTCCCCAGGGCTGCCTCTATGCATTTTGCACATGAAATAAATGATAACAACAACAGCGATGACGCTGGCCTTCGAACACCTGTACCTGGCCAGGCCTGGGTTAAGTGCCTTCTGTTCATGATCTCGTTGAATTCTCCCAAGAAGCCTAAAAAAAAAAATCTGTGCTTCTCATTTATCTGCTTCGCAAAGAAAGAAAATGAAGCCCTGAGGCTGCACTCAGTCATCCGCGAGGTCGTGCAGGCACGTTCATGTAGGATGCGTTGGCGTCATTTTGCAGGGGCTTAAAACAGAGGTGCAAATCAGGGTGAGAAGGCTTCCGCGTATGTAACTGTGCTCACGGTCAGTGTTTTCCTTTTTTTTTGGTCAGGGGTTTTGTGCATTTGCCAGAGAGCCAGACAGAGAGAAAGCACTCCCCATGAGCACGCACACAGTAATCCCTTTTCCTCTGTTTCTCCATCCCAGCTGGATTTTGGACACACATGCACGTGTCCAGAGAGTCTTTCTTTTTTAAAAAATAATTATTTATTTTATTTTTCATTATTATTATTATTTTCAATTTGACCAGAGAGAGAGAAAGGGAAAGTGAGAAAGCAAGCTGTCAAGTCAGGGACTTGAACCACAGTGGGCATTGTGGTAGTCCAGAGCCTTAACCACCATACCACCTGCCAGTCCCTCCAGTGAATTTCTCAAGCTGCCGGGGCCAGGATTTGAACTACAGTCACCCATTTGGGGCCCAGCTCCCTGCGGGTAGTCCTTAACCACTGCACTACACGGATAGTCGTGTCGGTGTGTTCGGAGTGTGAGTCGGAATTGTAAACTTGTGAATTGTAAAAGTATGTGTGTATCGGTGGCCAGGCTTGCTGATATACTCATTCATTCGATTGAATTTCCAGTCTACCAGCATGTAGGTGTGAAAGTGCGTGTGTGTGCACATGTGTGTGCCTGCACGCAATGACTTCGTGGCTGTTTATGGGAAAGAGAAAACGCTTAGAGGAAGACAGCGGGGCAGCCTTTGTCTGTTTCCCTGCTAAGGCCTGAGAGGACCTGAGTTGTGGGGGGCCTCTGTACAGAGCCACATGTGACACTCAGGGAGGAAGGGACAGACAGTGGTGTGTCCCCCTAAGGGTCTAAGGACAACAGGGCTGAGAACTAAGGTGTCAGGTTCCTGAGTCAGTCTTTGCACTAAGCTCCAGGCCAGCGGTGAAGGGGCTTCAGCCTGCACCCAGCCCTGCCCGAAACCCACCTCCCTCCCCCTCTGCCAACCTGAGTCGTGCTGCTCTGGGTCTTACCAGCCGAGTGTAACGCCAACGGAGACCTTTCATTCCCCTTCTCCGGCTCAGCCGGCTGGTGAGCGCGTCCTCAGCCCTGCCGGGGAGAGAGACGAGACATGGAGATGAGGGAGAGAGGACTAGGGCGCACCCAGATGGCTCCATGCCCACCCCGCTGCCCTTTGCTCCCTCTCACTGCCACTCCCAGGTGAGTTCTCACTGGGTGGGTCTGAAACGGGCTGGCATCCAGGGCCTCGCTTGCAGTTTGCATCTGACACACGTTAGCCGAACACGCAAAGGTCTAGCTGTGGTTCTCTGCCACCTCCTTGCTCTTCTGGCAGCCTGACCTGGGAACTGTGGCCTTTGGGCAGATGCCTACATAGGCCAGGGGTCTGGGGCCTCTGCCTCCCTGTGCGATCTTGGATAAGTCCATTTGTACACTGGGACCTCAGTGTCCCCAAATGTGACACAACAGATTGGACTAGGTCACCTTAGAGACTCTCAACACACTGGCAGCCCGCATCTCAGTTCCCTTTCAAAGCGGATGAGTGCTTATAACCAGAGCTTGGAGGGTACGCCAATACCGAAAGAACAGACCTTCAAATAAAAAGGGTTTCTAGTTAAAAAGTATGTATATTATGGGACTCACAGATGGTGTAATGGTTACATTGCTGGACTCCTACATTGTTGACCACAGTTCAAGTCTCAGATCCAGCGACTTAAAACTCAAGTCAGGTGCATGTACATTCATACCCAAAGTCCCAAGAGGAGAATGGAGGAGAAGGGATTGCATTGTGGTCATCCCCCCAAGGGGGATTTCTCACTTTCTGTCT